CCCCGTCGCGGCGCCGGCCGCGCCCGCGGCGCCGGCGCTGCCGCCGCTGCCGCCGCTCGCGCCGCCCGCGGGCGCGGACGCGGGCCTCGGCGACGTCCTCGCGAGCTGGTACTACGCGGGCTTCTACCTCGGCCGCTACCACGGCGCCCAGGAAGCCCTGCGCGAGGACGCCGCGCGCGCGGCGGCGACGGACGCGTAAGGGCTCGTGTGCAAAACTATAGTAGCGTCTGAGGCCGGGGTTCGCTGCGGGAATGAGGTGCCCCGGCGGTTCGCGGCGGCGATCGCCCTTGGCGCGCGCGCGGTTCGCCTCGGTGACCTTGATGCAATGCCGCGAGGCGCTCTCTCTTCGCCGCGTTCCAAGTTCTCGGCGGACGCGCGCGGACGCGGGCCGCCGCCGCGGAGCCACGTCCGCGGCGCACCGCATCAGCCACCCCGACGGCCTCCGCCGCCGCGGCCGCGCGTGAAAATGGCCAGGCATCTGCCGCGTCCGCCGCCGCCACCGCCATCTTCGTCGTTTCCTCCATCACTCTTCCCCATGTTGGGGGGCGCTTCTCCCGGTGCCGGCTCAACGTAGTCGGGCACGCCGCCCTCTTGACCTCCTCCACCGCCTCCACGGCGACCGCCGCCGCGGCCACCACCACCACCACGGCTCAAGCGGGCGCCCATATATGACAATGCTACGAGGAAGCCTTGTGCAGTACAGCTGTAATGCTGGCACGTTTAGGCTGCCAACCGACTTTCAGAGGTGCAGCATTCAGAGGATGTTGACCTCAACTGAGGTCAACCTTCCCCCCCACGGCCGGTTTCAGAGAGCGGCCTCTGGGCAGCCATTCCACGGCCATTCCACGGCTGCGAACGATGACGGCCGCCGGGTAAGTTCCGATGAACGAGGCGAAGAAGTATGTCGTCGGGGCGCTGGGCGCCGGCCAGCCCATGGAGGAGTCCGGCGCGCTCGCGAAGCTCCAGGCGCGCATGCGGGGCAAGGCCGCGCGGAGCGAGGGCGGCCGGCGGCACAAGGCCGTGGCCGCGAAGCAGTTCGCCCACGGGAAGATCGGCCTCACGGTCGGGGCCGCCGACGGCTACGACGCGTCCGAGCGCGCGACGACCTACGGCGACGGCCTCGAGGCGTCGCCGCTGTCGAACCTCGGCGGCGACCTCATCCAGCAGAAGATCCGGCCCGAGCTCAAGCTCGCGGCGACGCCCGCGCGCAAGTCCATGGCGCGCGGCACCGGGTCCGGCCGCCGCAAGTCGCAGGCGGGCCGGCGCGCGTCGTCGGCCGCGGGGCCGCCCAAGGGGGGGCGCAAGAGCCGGCTGTCCAAGGTGCAGATGCGCCGCGCGGGCATGGCCATCGACAAGTCGCTCGACGACTTGATCACGGGCATGAACAACCGGGCGAAGCGGCGGGGCACGACGCGGACGCCGCTGGCGCTCCAGTGGGCGCTGAGCGCGTCGCGGCGCGGCATGACGTTCACGAAGGTCCTCGACGAGTGGTTCAACGAGAGCGACGACCTCATGCAGAACGGCGTGCTGTCCATGCGCGAGCTGCGGCGGGGGTTGAAGATCTTACGGGAGGACGGCACGCACAACCTGACGGACGACCAGATCAACAACTTCGCGAAGCAGATGGACATCGACGGCGACGGCGAGATCACCAAGGAGGAGTTCATGGGCGAGATGCTCGGCCTGCTGCGCGAGGTCCACGCGGAGAACATGATCGCCAAGTCGCGGGCCAAGGCCCTCTTCTCGACGCTCGAGGACCAGGACGACGTCAAGACCATGTACAAGTCGGAGACGGACGCGCTGGACCTCGTCGACGAGCTCGTCGACGCGGCCTGCGCCACCTCCGAGGAGAACAAGCTGCGCAGAGACCGGGCCTTCGCGACGTGCCGCGTGCTCGAGGAGATGACGACGGTGCTCCAGTACCTGCCCGTCGCGGACGTCGACGTCTTCCGAAACGGCGTCCGGCCCGAGCTCGAGCCGGAGCCCGACGCGATCGACCGCATGGCGACGTCGCGCGTGCCCGTGAGCGACCCGCCGCCGCGGGCGGCGCCGGAGAGCGACGCCGGGTCGCCCGGCCGCGGCGACGCGCCGCCGTTCCCGGGCGCGGCGCCGCGGCGGTCGACGCTCCAGCTGAGCCGCCGGGGCACCGTCGCCGCGCGCCAGGTCGGCGCCGACCGGGGGGACCGCGACGGCCGGGGCCTGCCGACGACGGGCGAGTACGCCGCGCGGCGGACGACGCGCGACGAGCGGAGCGGCACGACGCTCATCCACATGGACGACGACGACGCGGAGAGCCTGAGCCCGAGCGAGAGCGCGTCGCTCCGGGAGTACGAGGCCGCCATCCGGAAGCGCGAGCTCGCGGAGCTCAACTGGGCCGCGGAGCAGCGCTCGACCGAGGCCGAGGACGCCGGGTCGCCCGCGCGCGCGCCGGGCGCGGCCAAGGTCGACGAGGGCCGCGCGCCGGCCGTGTCCTGGCAGATCCGCCACCCCCAGGCCCAGCAAAAACTGAAGGCCGCCATGACCAAGGTCGTCCTCGGCGACAAGCTCGCCCGGGCGCTCAAGGCGCCGCCGGGCGAGGGCAAGCCGCCCCGGCTCTCGCCGCCGAAGGGCGGCCGGTCGCCCCAGCGGTCGCGGAGCCCGCCGGGGGGCCTGCCGCCCATCCGCCGCGGCTCGGGCAACGGGCCGACGAAACAGGCCCCGATCCCGAAGCCGCTCCCGGCGCGGCCCCAGTCCGGCGGGTCCGCGGCGACGCGCGGCGACCTGCCGATCCTCCCGTCGCTCAAGCCGACGAAGCCCTCGCAAAAGACGCTGCCCCTGCGGCCCAACGTCGCCCTGCGCACGGCGCACAAGCCGAGCCCGCGCTTCTCGCCGCGGCCGCCCCTCGACGACGGGTCCCTCGCGGGCGGCTCCGCGTCGACGACCCGGCTCGCGGATCCGCAGCGGAAGCCCGAGGACGACGCGCTGTCCGCCGCGACGGCGCCCGCGGCCGTCGCGCCGCCGCGCGTGGACCCCAAGGAGGACATGCGGCCCGCCAAGGCCGTCCTCGTCGCCCGGCCGAACCCGTTCCTCAACGAGTTCTCGCGGCCGCGGACGCGGCGCCGCTTCTACCGGCCCGTCAAGCACGGCTCCTTCCGCGTCACGCCGAAGAAGTCGGAGAAGTTCTTCGCCGACGTCGCGGACCTCGTGCCCACGCGGCCGGGCACGGACAAGTCCGCCGGCGGCGCGCGGTCGCCCCTCGGGCCGCCCGCGCGGACGCTCGTGCCCGTAAGCTAGGGGACGCCCTTACCCAGCGGCGGGAAGGTCCCGTCCAAGCGCTCGAGGAGGCAGCGGAGCCGGTCCGGCGGCACGTCGCAGGCGAGGTCCTCGCCGCTCCGCACGTTGACCTCGAAGATGCACAGCTCGCCGTTCCCGCGGAGCTTGTAGTTGAAGTTGCAGACGCCCGTGTAGCCCCGCAGGAGCGCCGCCATGACCTCGAGGTGGTTTCCGGGCACGGGCGCGTCGACGACGCGCAGCTCGCGCCGCTCCTCGACGCGCGGCCAGACGTAGACCGCCGCGTCGTAGGTGTAGCGCGTCGCGACGACGTCGAGGATTCGGCCGTCGCGGACGACGCACGACGCGCTGTACTCCACGGGCCCCTCGCAGAGCTCCTGGACGAGCCAGGCGTCGTTCATGCGCCGCGAATCGAGCTTCAGCTCCGATATCGCGGCGTCGAGCTCCCGGGCGTCGCGCGCGAAGCGCACGGTGCTCCCGAAGTCGCCGACGGCCGTCTTGACGATGCACGGGAACCGCGCGGCCCGGAGCGTCGCGTAGCTCGCGGGCAGGCAGTGCTCGAGGCCCATGCGCCGCGCGCGTTTCCGGAGCCGCACCTTGTCCATGAGCTCCCGCGTCTCTTCGAGGTCCCCCGCGAGGACGCGCCAGCCGAGGCGCTCGTAGTCGGCGCGGCGCTCGCAGAGCCGGAGCGCCCAGCCGTCCTCCGTCGGGATGAGCCAGCAGCCGGGCCCCGGCGGCGCCGCGGGCACGTTCTCGTCGTAGGACGGCGCGAGGAAGTCCTGGGGGCAGCGGCAGGCGTCGCTGATGTTCTGCTCCCAGGTCCGCTTCGACGGCGCGAAGCAAAACCGCGCCGCCGCGCCCCGGAGCTGCTCGAGGGACACGGGCGCCGCGACGTTCGCGAGGCCGGCGCCGTAGGCGAAGCGCGCCATGGCCGCGGCGGACGGGCGGCGCTCCGGGTGGTAGCGCGCGGCGCCGTCGAGCGCGACCGCGTCCGGCGGGAACGCGACGGCGCGCGCGCGGACCCAGGCGCCGCGCCGCGAACCGCCCCGGAACCAGCTCCGCGCGTCCGATGCCGCGAGCTCGAGCCAGCCGGCCGCGGCGCGCGGGACGTCGAGGTCGTCGGCGCCGCGCGGCCGCCGTCGACCGACGAAGGGCTCGCCGCGCGCGCGCGTCCGCCGCACGAGCACCGCCGCGTCCCGCCACACGACGCCCAGCAAGACGCCGCCGGGCGCGTCGCGGACCTCGGCGAAGGCGCCGACGGGCGACGCCCAGGCGTCGCCGGGCCCGCGCGTCGCCGCCGCCGCGCCGCGCTCGAGGCGCTCGTGCCAGAGCGCGAGCCGGGGGTCCTTGGCGAGGTAGTAGCCGAGCTGCATGCGGCCGTCCCTGAGGCACTTGAGCGACACCCAGCCCACGGCGGGCTCCAACACGTGGACCCGCGTCGTGGACGCGTCGAGGGGCCAGCTCTTGTCGCAGAGCACGCGCGTGCCGCCGGCGAGCGTGCAGACCTTGGCACTCTGGAGGCTGCCGCCCTGGCGCAGGTAGGCGCCCTGCTTCCTGACGACGTAGCGCATCTTGTGGTCGAAGCGCGTCACGACGGGGAAGCTGTCGAGGCTCAGGCCCGCCCAGGGCGACTGGGGCGGGAAGAGTGGGGTAGCCCCGATGCGCCCCATGCCGAAGAGGCCTACTCGATTTCGGTTTATCAAGGTAGAAGGTGAAGCAGGTGTTGACGCGCGGATGAAGCACCCCGCAGCCCCGCCTGGAAGCCTCTTCTCTAGAGCGGCGCCCCGCCCCTAGGCGCCCTTCTTCTTCGCGAAGAAGGACGTGAGCGTCTTCTGGCCGGTCATGTCGGGCTCCTTCTTCTTCGGCTTCTTCTTCTTCTCCGACGACGCGGGCTTGTCCGGCGCGGCGGCGGGCGGCGCGGCCCCCGCCGCGGGCGCGGGCGCCGGCGCCGCGGCCTCGGCGGACTTCTTGGGCTTGCGGGGCTTCTTCGCCTTGGGCTCGGGCTCCGGGTCCGGGTCCGGGTCCGGCGCGTCCGGGTCGAAGAAGAAGGTCGCGGCGTAGGGCGCGAGGAGCCGCTCGCGCTCGTCGTCGCCCGCCTCGCCGGGCTTGAGGGGCGACACGACGACGACGGCGCGCTGCCGCGGCGCGGCCCGCTTCTTCGCGGCGCGCGGCGCGCCGTCGTCGAGCTCGTCGTCGCCCTCGAGGAAGTCGTCGCCGTAGTCCAGCGCGTCCTCCTCGCCGCCCTCGCTCTTCTCGCCGTCGTCGTCGCTCAGGTCCTCGCCGTCCTCGATCTCGCCCTCGTTCGCGGCGTAGTCGTCGTCGCTGTCGTAGTCGTAGTCGACGGCGGGGTCCTTCGCGAAGGGCGCCGTGGCCGTGACGACGGCCGAGGACGCCTCGACGACCTGGAGCGACGGCGGCTTGAAGTTCTCGTGGAAGTGGAAGTAGGCGAGGCGCTTCGCGCCGGCCGCGCGCGGCTCCCGCGGCGGCCGCGGCGCGAAGGGCCGGCGGAGCGACTCGAGGGGCGGCGGGTCCGCGCGCGCGGCCGCGATGGCGCGCACGAAGGCGTCCGTCTTCGCGTCGCCCGCCGCGACGTCCTCCCGGCTCCGCGGCCGCTCCGCGGGCGCGGGCGCCGCGGCCACGGGCGCGGGCGGCTTCGGCGCCTTCTTGAGGAACGCGCCCATGAGGGACTTGGACGCGGAGCTCGCGCCGTCGTCGACCTTCTTCTTCTTCGCGGCGGACGCCTCGCGCGCGTCCTCGGACTCGCGCTTCTTCGCCGCTTTCGCGTCCTCGGACTCGCGCTTCTTGAGCGCTTTCGCGTCCTCCTTGGCCTTCTTCTCCGCCTCCTTCTCGCGCTTCTTCCGGTCCGCCGCCTCGGCCTTGAGGCGCGCGGCGTCCTCGTCGCGGGAGATCTTGAGGACCTTCTCCTCCTCCGCGAGGGCCTTGGCCGCGTCGCCCTTGACGAGCGCGTCGACGAGCTTTCCCAGCGCCTTGGCCTTTTTGCCGACGCGGCCGCGCGCCGCGCGCGCGGCCTTGATCGCCTTGAGCGACGCGTCGCCGAAGTAGGCCTCGGCGGCGACGACCTCCCAGCGCCAGATGTGGAGCACGGACGCGTCCTCGGCGGCGGCGACGCCCTTCTTCGGCGCGATGCCGTAGGCCTTGCGCTCCGCGACGAGCCGGATCTTCGCGGCCGCTTTCTCGGCGAAGGCGCACGAGTCGTCGCCGAGCGCCGCCGCCGCCGCCGCGGCGACGTCGCCGAGGGGCAGCGCCGACCCCTGGACCAGCGACGCGAGCCGCGGCGTCAGCGCCTCGGGGAACGCCCCCGCGTCGTCGGCGCCGGCGCCGGCGCCGGCCTCGAGGTGCGCCAGCCGGTAGTCCGGCTCGCGCTCCGCGGGCGCCGCCGCGACCTCCTGGATGACGGCGCCGAGCTGGCCGCGGTACTTGTCCAGCATCGCGGGGAGGTCCGCCGTCGCGGCCATGGGAGCGCGAGGCGGCGCGCGGCGCGGCGGTCGGTCGCGCGGCTATGCGGCGCGGCTATGCGGCGCGGTTATGCGGCGCGCGAGGTTGTGGTGGCGGCGGCGGCAAGTGGTGCGGGCCTTACAGCGGACGATGCGCTTGGCGTTTTGAACAGCTCTGCGGGCCGAGCCAACCTCTGAGCCTCTTGGACGACGTTTGACGACGCCTTTGACGCCCCTTGCCGGCGTCCGATGACGCCTCCGATGGTCGACGAACCGACGTCTTCCCGTCCGATTTTTCGCCGGCACTAGAGCATGGCCCGTAGCTGTATGTCACAAGAAAACGCGCTCCATTTATAGCGAATCGCCAGCCGTTTTGCTCGCGCGCCGCGAGCGCAGCAAGTCCGTGCCAGCGAAGCGCGTCGCCATCGACGACGTCGGGTACGTACTTGCTTGTATCGAGCGAGACACGCGTGTGTGTGAGTACAGGGGAACAGCGGGCAAGATCTAGATGTACCGGCGTGCGGAACTGCAACAAGGCTGCACCATCCACAAGAGAGCCTGCTTTTGGGCGATCGGACGAGCGTTCGGCCTCAGCAGCGCGTCGCAGCGCGTCGAGCGACACCCAGCAGCCTTCGCGCCGCAGCGCACACGGCAATTGAGCGATGGGCAAAGGCAAAAAGACAGCGGCCGTGCCCGCGGCCATGGAGCAGGACGAGCGCTTCGCGCACATCGCGAGCGACCCGACGTTCAAGCGCGGGCGCAAGAAGCACCGCGTGAAGATCGACGAGCGCTTCAAGGGCGCCCTCGACGACAAGAAGTTCGGCCTCGCCGCCGCGCCGGTCGACAAGCGCGGCAAGAAGGTGAAGAAGCGGTCGCAGCGCGAGACGCTGGCGCCCTTCTACGAGCTCGAGGAGCCCGCCTCGAAGGGAGGCGCGCTGGACGCGGCCGAGGAGGCGAAGCGGCGCGAGCTCGACGCGCGCGCGCGCGGCGAGGTCGACGGCGACTCGTCGAGCGACGACGACGACGACGGCGGCTCGTCGAGCAGCGACGACGACGAGCTCGAGTCCGTCGAGGCCGAGGCCTGGGACGCGCGGCTGCCCGCGACGCACGCCGAGGTCGGCGGCGACTTCCGCGCCGCTCGCCTCGCGATCACGGACCAGGAGTGGAAGCACTGCCGCGCGGCGGACCTCCTCGTCGTCCTGCGGTCGCTCTGCCCTCCGGGCGGCGCCTGCCAGAAGGTCGAGGTCTTCGCGTCGGCCTACGGCGCCGAGGAGATGGCCAAGGAGGCGCGCTTCGGCCCCGCGGGCATCTTCGACGACGGCGCCGGCGCCGGCTCCGACGACGACGACGACGACGGCGACGACGGCGACGAGCCCCTGGACACGCACGAGGGCTTCGACGCGGAGAAGCTGCGGAACTACGAGCTGCGGAAGCTGCGGCGCTACTTCGCCGTCGCGACGTTCGACTCGGAAAAGACCGCGGACGCCGTCTACGCGTCCGGCGACGGCGTCGAGCTCGAGGCCACGTCCACGCCGCTCTGCCTGAGCTTCGTCGAGGCGGACCAGGCCTTCGACGCGGCGCGCCTCCGCGACGCGGCGACGTCCGGCGACGTCGGCGCCTACGAGCCGCCGAAGGCCTACTGCTGCGCGGCGCGCCAGCAGACGAAAGTGGAATGCACCTTCGACGACGACGACGGCGCGGCCCGCGCCGAGGCCTTCGACCAGCTCCGCGCCGACGTCGAGCACGCGGCCGGGAGCCAATACCTCGCCGACAGCGACTCCGACGACGACGCGGACGGCGCCGCGCTCCGCGCGCGCCTCGGCCTCGGCCCCGCGGACGGCGGCGACGTCAAAACGTCGGGCGCCGCGGGCTTCGACGACGACTTCTTCGGCGCCGCGGACGACGAGGTCGGCGCCGAGGACGTCGAGATGACCTTCGAGTCCTTCGGCGACGGCGGCGGCGACGCGCCGGCCGAGGCGACGCCGTGGGAGAAGCGCGAGCAGCGCGCGCGCGACCGCAAGGCCGAGCGCAAGCAGCGCCTCAAGGGCCTCAAGGCCGCCGCGCCGGAGAAGGCGGAGAAGAAGCCGAAGAAGGCGCGGCTCCTCGACGACGGCGACGACGACGGCGACGACGACGCGACGGGCTTCGACGCGCGCGACTTCGACGCGCAGAAGCTGGTCAAGGCCGAGAAGCTCGCGGGCAAGACGAAGCTCCGCGGCAAGCGCAAGCGCGACCGCGACGCCCTCCTCGCCGAGGTCGACCAGGCGGGCTTCGCGTTCGACGCCGGCGACGACCGCTTCAAGGGCCTCCTCGACGGCGACGACCGCTTCGGCGTCGACCCGTCCGCGGCCGAGTTCAACAAGACGGGCGCCATGCGCGAGGTCCTCGCCGAGCAGGCCAAGCGCCGCAAGAAGAAGCGCGAGGCCGAGGAGGACGGCCGCGCGGCGAAGCGCGCCGGCGCCGCGAAAACCGACGACGCCGCCGCGGCGCCCGCGCTCGGCGACCTCGCGGCCTCGCTCAAGGCCAAGCTCAAGAAGAAGAAGAAGAAGAAGAAGGCGGAGCAGTAAGGCGCCTGTTCGGATTTCCTGGGGCAATGTGTGCAGCTTGAACGGCAACTTGCTCAGGAGAGAGCTCGAGTATGGGCCTGCTAAAACTCTTGCTCCTGTTCGCATCAGCGCACGCGCTCGTCGCGCCGCGCCGCCACACGACCCACCACCGACCGCTGCGGGCGGAGAAGACCGGCCGCTGCGGTCTGCGGCTCCTCGAATGGCTGCCGTCGCAGAAAGTTCTCGTCACCACCGCGCGCTGGGGCTGGCGGGAGATCTGGCGGCTCATGATGTCGGAGCTCGCGCCGCAGACCGCAGACGGCGCCTACGCGCGGCCCGCGCCGCAGCGGGGCACGGGCGCGACGCCCGCGCTCGACGCCGACGGCGCCTACGTGCTCTACGCGGGAAACGCCTGTCCGTGGTGCCACCGCGCGAAGCTCGCCGTCGCCGTCCGCGGCGCCGAGGCGCTGGTCCGCGTCGTCGAGCTCGACGACGACCCGGCGAAGGCACGCCGCGGCGGCTGGAGCTTCTCCGCGGAGTGCCCGGATCCCGTCTTCGGCGCCGCGGATCTCAAGGGCGTCTACGACGAGCTGGGGCTCGAGGGGCGCTGCACGGCGCCCCTGCTGGTCGACGCGTCCGGCGGGTTCGTCTCCAACGAGAGCGGCGACATCGTCCGCGCGTTGGTCGAGTACGCAGGGCCCGGGGCGGCGTCGGACGCGGACTTGAGGCCGGAGGCGCTCCGCGGCGCCATCGACGCGTGGAACGACGAGATCTACGAGTCGATCAACAACGGGGTCTACCGCGCGGGCTTCGCGACGCGGCAGGCGCCCTACGAGCGTGCCGTCGCTGACGTCTTCGCGGGGCTCGAGGCCGTGGACGCCGCGCTCGCGCGAACCGCGTTCGTCGCCGGCGACGCGCTCAGCGAGGCGGACCTGCGGCTGCTGCCGACGATCGAGCGCTTCGACGCGTCCTACGCGCCGCTGTTCCTGCGGACGACGAAGACGATCCGGGACGACTACCCGCACATCGCGGCGTGGAAGCGCCGCATGCGCGCGCTTCCCGGCGTCGCGGACACGGTCGACGTCGCGGCCGCCGCGCGGTCCTACTACACGAGCCTCTTCCCGCTGAACCCGAGCGGCATCGTGCCCGTCCTGGTAACGGATTAGTCGACCTCCGGCGCCCGGGGGGACCCGAGGGCCGTCTCGATGGCGGCGAAGCTCGACGCGTCCACGTCCGAGCCGAACGCGTCCTCCGCCCCGGGCGCCGGCGCCCGGGGCGGAGGTCGGGGCGGCGGGTCGAAGGCGAAGCCGACCTGCTGGGACGCCTGGAAGCGGCGCGCCGCGTCGGCCGTGGGGAACACGTGGCGGAGCGCGTGGTCGAAGTCGCGCATGGCCGTGCGCCGCGGCGCCTCGTCGCTCCCCGCGCGCAGGGCCGCGGCGACCTCGCGCACGGGCCGCGTCACCGCCGCGCGGCAGAGCTCCTCGAGGTCGCTGCCCGAGAACCGCGGCGTCCGGTCCGCGACGTCCTCGAGGTCGACGTCGCCGTCGAGGCCGTCGCCCTTGAGGAGGATGCCCAGGATCTCGCGCCGCGCTTTCGCGTCCGGCAGCGAGATGCGGTACTGCTTCGGGAACCGGCGGAGCACCGCCGGGTCGAGGTCGTAGGGGCGGTTCGTGCACGCCACGACCACGACGGGCCGCTCCGCCTCGTCGGGCGCGACCAACAAACCGTCGAGATGGCTCATGAACTCGGCCTTGACGGACACCGTCACCTCCGTCTCGCCGCTCGACCGCGACCGCAGGAGGCCGTCGACCTCGTCGAGGAAGAGCACGCAGGGCGCGAGCTTCCGCGCCAAAGAGAACGTCGCCGCGACGAGCTTGTTGCTCTCGCCGTAGTACTTGTCCGCGAGCGTCGACACGCGCACGTCCATGAGCGCCGCGCCCGACTCTCTGGCCAGGCCCCGCGCGACGAGCGTCTTGCCCGTGCCGGGCTCGCCGTAGAGGAGCACGCCCCGCGGCGCGCGCGCGAGCTTGGACGCGCCCGCGAACGCGCCCGGGTGCCGCAGCGGCCAGACCACGAGGTCCCGGAGCTCCTCGACGATGGCCTCCAGGCCGCCGACGTCGTCGAGCGTCGACGCGAGCGCCTCCGGGTCGACGACGGACCCGCTCAGCTGCGCCTCGTGGCCGCTGAGCCGCGGCGCGCGCTCGTGGCGCGCGGCCAGCGCCTTCGCGCAGGCCTCGCCGACGCCGGACTGGAAGATGGTGCTGCTGCCGGACCCGAGCTCCAGGAGCGCGAGGAAGGCGCGATAGCCCGCGTAGGTGATGCCCCAGCTCAGGACGACGCCCAGCAGGTTCGCCGCGAGCTCCTGGCTCACCTTCGGCGCGCGCTCCGTGACCTTGCGCTGCAGCGGGTAGAGCGACGACATGTGAGGCTTCAGTGAGCGCGTCGGAAGCGCTGAAGATCACGTCGGAAGCGACCTCGCATACGATGCGGTCAGTGCACCACCGCGGCTCCGTCACCTGCATCACCGCGATTTGCCACAGGCGCCTTGCTATGCGTCGAGCCATGCGCCAGCTCCGCCGCTTCGCGAGCGCGCAGACCGTGCGCTTCGCGCCGTCGCCGACGGGCGCGCTGCACGTCGGCGGCGCGCGCACGGCGCTGTTCAACTACCTCGTGCACCGGCGGGCCGTGCTCGAGGGGCGGCCGAGCGCCTTCGTGCTGCGCGTCGACGACAGCGACGCCGCGCGCAACGTGCCCGGGTCCGAGGCGGCGATTTTAGGCGACCTCGCATGGCTCGGCGTCGAGTGGACCGCGGGCCCGCTGCGGTCGTCGGAGCGGTCGGCCGTCTACGCGGCGGCCGTGGATAAGCTATTAGCGTCCGGCGCGGCGTACCGCGACTTCGACGGCGACGCGGCGAAATGGCGCGGCGCACCCGAGGCCGACGTCGCCGCGCGCGTCGCGGCGGGCGAGCCGCACGCCGTGCGCTTCCGCGTGCCGCGCGAAACGGGCGTCGCCGTCGAGGTCGACGACGTCGTCCGCGGCACGCTGCGGTGGGCCGACGTCAACAAAGCCTGCCGCGAGGACTTCGTGCTCGCGCGGCGCGACGGGCGCCCGCTCTACGTGCTCTGCTCGGCGGCCGACGACGCGGCCCTGGGCGTGTCGCACGTCGTCCGCGCGGAAGAACACGTGTCGAACACGCTGCGGCAGGCGCTCGTCTGTGTGGAAATCAAATCTTCAACCCGACTTCAATTTGAGCGTAATTGAAAGAATTGCACCGGGCCCTTTGACTGTGCTTCGAGAACTCGATGAGAGCAATCGATTCGTCCAAAAATCAGCCGAATCGACTTCGAATTGACCGAGATAGAGAGCTCTGAATTTTAGCCCCGACGTCCCAGCTCACTGTTTGATTTCCCACTCAGGTGCTCATGCTCGACGCGCTCGGCGCGGCGCGGCCGACCTTCGCGCACGTGCCCCTCGTCGTCGACGCGGCGGGCAAGAAGCTCTCGAAGCGGCGGGGGCCCGCGGGCGCCGGCCCCGAGGAAGCAGCAGCCGAGGACGGGGCCCGCGGCCGGCGGCCCCGGAAGCACGCCTACGAGGGCCTCGGCACGGTCGCGGAGCTCCGGGCCGCGGGCTGCACGCCCCCGAACTACCTCGCGTCGCTGGGCTGGGCCCACGAGACGGCCGCGTTCGATTCCTTAGACGACCTCGCGGCGGCCTTCGACCTCGGCCGCGTGTCCAGGGCCGCGAGCGCGCACGACCCGAAGCGCCTGGCCTTCGTCGACGCGGCGTCGGCGGCGTCGCCCGCCGGCGGCGCCCAGGCGGCGGAGGCCGTCGCCGCGGCGCTCGCGCGCGCGCTGCCGACGGCGCGCGCGGACGCCGTCGCCGCGCTCGCGGACGCGGGGCGCCGCGAGTTCGCCGAGGACCGGCTCCCGGCGGGCCGCGTCGCGGACGCGGTCCTCGACGCGCTCGCGCCCGACGCCGCCGGCGCCGCGGCCGCCGTCGCGACCGAGCGCGCCGCCGCGGCCGCGGTCGTCGCGGCCGGCGCCGCGCCCTTCGACGGCGACGACGCCGCCTGGGCGGCCTACGTCGACGGCCAGGCCGCGGCCCTGGGGGTGAAGCGCGGCGCCTTTCTCAAGCCGCTGCGCCTCCTCCTCACGGGCCGGCCCCGGGGCGCGGACGTCCGCGCGCAGCTCCGCATCGCGCGCGCCGCCGCGGACGCGGGCGTCGCCGGCGCGGCGACGGCCGAGGACCGCCTCGCGGCGATCACGCGGCTCCTAGACGGGACCTAGGCGATGCACGAGACGGGACCTAGGCGAAGCACGGCGCCGGGTCGGCGCCCGCCGCGGTGCCGGAGCAGTACGCGCACGTCGCCGAGTCGGAGCCGGCGACGCGGACGTCGTCGAAGGCGATCCCGGTGATGGGCGAGTCGTCGAGGCCGAGGCAGGCGAGGAACGCGTCCTCCTTCTCGGGGCCCCGCGAGACGTCGACGTCCAACGCGGAGACGGAGACGCCGCGGATCACGGGCGTCGCGGAGACGTTGGTCCGCGGCTCGTCGTGCTCGTACCTAGCCGACGTGTCTCGAGAGCCGCCGGGGCCGCGGAAACGCCGGCTCGCGCTGGAGGCTGATCTGCACCGCGGCGTTCGCCGTGCCCGTGAGGTTGCGGTACGCGACGTCCTCGATGCCGCCGCCGCGCGTCCGCGCGGACTTGAGCCGCACGGCGACGTTCGTGCCGTGGAGCGTGCTGTCGCGCACGGTCACCTAATGATGTTCCATCGTCTTCCCACCCGAAAATCGTCGCGGCCGCGGGACGCCGACGGTCGCGTTGCGGATCCAGCCGCCCGTCTCGGAGCCGATGCTCACGCCGTGGCCGGCCCTGAACGCGTTGCGCTCGAGGAGCACGTTCTGCGTCGAGATGTTTACCATGCGGCCGCTCCAGTCGCGGCCCGACTTGATCGCCACGCAGTCGTCGCCTACGCCGCGGCGCGTTTTTGTTTCGTTCCGGCGCCGGCCGCCGCGCACCGGTCTCGAAGACGTTGTCGGCGACGTAGACGTTCCAGGAGCTGTCCGGGTCGCAGCCGTCCGTGTTCCTGCCCGCGTAGCCCTCGGCGGCCGCGGTGATAACCGTGTTGCCCGTGACGCGCACGTCGTCGCAGAACGTCGGGTGGATCGTCCAGAAGCCCGGCCGTGTGATGTGGAGGTCGCGCACCGTGAGGCCCCGGATCCAGAGGAGGTCGAGGAGCATGGACCGCTCCCGCGAGGCCTCGAGGTCGAACCAGAACGCGCCGTCGCCGTCGACGGCGCCGCCGCCCTCGACGCAGACGTTCTCGAGCGTCGCCCACGCGGCGCAGTCGTCCCAGCCGACGAGCGGGTCCTTGAGTTTCGCGCAGCGCGCGCCGTTGAGCAGCCCGGCGTAGGCCTCGGTCATGACGGCCTCGCGCCGCGTGTAGACGCGCTCGTAGTCGCCGAGGGCCGTCGACCCGCGGAGCGTCGCGTTGGCCTCGACGCGCAGCGTGAGGTTCGACCGCAGGAACACGGAGCCCGTCGTCAGCGTTAGACCCGCGGGCACGAGGACCGTGCCGCCCTCCGCGCGGTCGCCGCAGGCGTCGACGGCCGCCTGGAGCGCCCGCGTCTGGACGCCGTCGGACCCGTCGACGTAGTCGGAGACGTCGCAGAGCTTGCCGCGGCGCCAGCCCTCCGCCTCCGCGCAGCGCGGCGCGCCGACGACCTACCGCATCAAAATCTCTCGAAAATCGTCACGGCTGCAGGACGCTGCCGACGACGGGCTGCGGGAGCCGCGTCGAGCCAAAGGGGCCCGGCCCCGGCGGCGGCGGGGTGCTGGCCTGCGCGACGATCGCTGTGGCCTGCGCGACGACCAGCATCGCCGCGATGGTCGCGGGCATGATTGCGTTCTCGTGACCCATACGCCGGGAAGAATCGGGCAGCCCAGACTGCAGTATGTTGCACATCAACTTGAGGCTCAAGGCTAAAAAGGTGCCGCCCTCGCGAGCGCCATCACGGCGGGCTCCGAGGCCGCTCGCGAGGCGCCGGCCATGTCCGAGTCGGGCATGAAGCGGTCGCGGGAGGAGAACGCCCCCGCGGCGGAGCGGCCGGCGAAGCGCCCCGCGCCGGAGCCGTCCAAGGCGTCGACGCGGCGCGCGCTGCGCGGCGCCCTGAGCCGCTACGCGCGCATCGGCCAGAGTGCCCTCGCCTGCGTGCAGCGCGGCCAGGTGCTGCTGCGGCGCGTCGAGGCCCAGTGCGCGTCCGTGGGCCTCGTGCTCGGGTCCATGCCCATGCCCGCGGGCCCGCCGCAGTCCGCGGGCTTCGGCGGCGCGACGTCGGCCGCCGCGGCGGCGCGGACGCGGAGCCAGCTCGTCGACCTCATGGGCCTGGGCCAGCGGAAGCCGCGGCCCAGCGACTTGGCCCTGCGCTTCGACGCCGAGGGCCGCGCCGTCGACGCCGCGGGCCACGTGCTGTCGTCGGACGTCGGCGCGACGCGGTCCGTGAAGGCGAACGCGAAACTCGACGCGGCGCGCGCGCCCAAGAAGGTCAACCCCTACGCGGGCTACCGCCTCGACGCCGCCGACGTGAGCGACGTCGTCGACCCCCGCGTCGTGTCCAAGAAGCGCGAGTCCAAAAAAGACCGCGCGTTCGCGTTCGTCAAGGAGGGCCACTACGTGAAGATCGCCGAGGCGACGCGCGCGCGCGAGCTCTCGAGCCGCATCGCCACCGTGTCCCGGCCCGAGGCGCTCGACAATGACGACGGCGCGTCCGTCGGGGGGAGCGACGACGACGTGTCCGTCGGCGCCGCGCCGACGGGCCCGCGGCTGCCGCCGCGGTCCGAGCACTACGCGTCGATTCCGGGCATGGAGTGGTGGGACGAGGAGTTCCTGGGCAAGGACCGCCACGGCGCGCGGGCCGCGTCCATCGCCGAGCGCATGCGCGACGAGTACGAGTCCTGCGCCCTCGAGAAGAGCCGCTACCACGGCCTCGTGCACCACCCGGCGTCCGCGCGGCCGCTCGGCGGCGAGGGCAAGAAGGTCGCGACGATGCCCTTCTACCTCACGGCCAAGGACCGCAAGCGCGTGCGCCGCCAGACGCGCGCCGAGCGCGAGCGCGAGAAGCAGGACAAGATCCAGCTCGGCCTCGTCGCGCCGCCGGAGCCCAAGTTCAAGCTCTCCAACTTCATGAAGGTTTTAGGAGAGCAGGCCGTCGCGGACCCGTCGAAGATGGAGCGCAAGGTCATGGAGCAGGTGACGAGCCGCCTCACGAAGCACGCCATGCGCAACGCGGCCCGCAAGCTCACGCCCCAGGAGAAGAAGGAGAAGAAGCGGCGCAAGCTCGCGGAGGACACGTCCGCCGAGGTGTCGGTCGCGGTCTTCTACGTCGCGTCGCTCGAGTCGTCGCAGCACCGCTTCAAGATCGACGTCAACGCCCAGCAGCTTTCGCTCACGGGCGGCGTCCTCATCTGCTCCGCGCCCGACGCGTCCTTCGCGCTCGTCGTCGTCGAGGGCGGGCCCCGCGCGATCAAGCGCTTCGCCGCGCTCGTGAACCGGCGCATCGACTGGGCCGACGACGCCAAGCTCCAGGCCGAGACGACGGCCTTCGCGGGCGTCAACTGGGCCGCCCAGGTCTGGGCCGGCTCCGTCGTCAAGCGCGCGTTCACCGCGTTCCGCTTCCAGGAGTGCAAGTCGTCCCTCACCGCGCGCCGCGTCCTCGACGCCAAGGGCGTCGCCCACTACTGGGACATGGTCCTCCAGGCCCACGAGGCCGGGCCCCCGCCCAAGGACGACGACGACGACGAGGACTAGGGACCGCCGCCTAACTCACCTACGCGACCGCGCCGCCGTGGAGCGACCCGGCCTCGGAGCCGGCGTCGCCGGCGTCGGAGTCGCCGGACTCGCCGTCGGTCCAGTCCTCCTCCGCGTCGTCGAGCCGGCCGGCGTCGCCGAGGGCCGTGCCGAGGGGGTCGCCGTCGACGACGACGGGCGGGGGGTCGCCGCGCGGGTCCGCCGGCAGGCCGAGGGTCCGCAGGACCGCCTCGACGTCGTCGCCGCGGCGCGCGCACGCCTCGCGGCGGCCGATCTCCGCGCGGACGTCGGCGAGGAAGGCGTCGTCGACGCCGCGCTCCTCGACGACGAGGTCGCGGATCGACGCCTCGGCGTCGGCCGCCGCGCCCCGGTCGTCGTCCTGGACCCAGGAGAAGAGGTAGCAGTGGCGGAACCCGTCGTAGGAGCCGTCGTCCGGGAGCCGGACCGCGCAGGGCCCCGCCGCGTCCTTTCCGTCGATTTTGGCGCCGAGCCAGAGGCAGGGCCGGCCGTCGCCCGCGAGCGCGCCGGCGTCGTCCCACTCGAGCCGCAGCTCGAGCGCGACCTCGTCGCCCGCGCCGGGCGCCGCGACGAAGATCGGGTACCGCGCCGAGGGCAGCCAGAGCTGGATCCGGTCGTGGGCCTCGTTCAGGGGCACGAGGACGCTGAAGACGTCCGCGTGGCCCACGTGGAAGAAGCGCAGCGCGCGGTGCGGCGCCTCGCCGCTGGAGAAGCACACGTTGAAGAACCCGCGCCGCGGCGACCGGCGCGCGGTGCGCACGCGGCACGCGACGCGCCGCGGCCGCGCGTCGACGCGCCGGTGCACGCCCGTGAAGTTCATCTCGCCGCCGCCGGTGAGCACGAGGCCCCGGCCGGGCTCGATGGCCGCGTCGCAGGCCCAGGGCCGGGGCGCGGCGAGGGGCGCGCCGGGGGGGGCGGGGTCGCGGCACGCGTCGCCGGGCACCGTCGGCCCGTCGGCCCAGCGGCGCCGCCACCGCGGCGACGAGAAGGGCTCCCAGATCGCCGCGCGCTCCGCCGCGGCGAGGCGCCGCAGGAGGTCGTCGTTGCTGTCGCCGACGTCCCGGGACGCGAGGTCGCCGCCGCCGCCGCCGACGTCGACGTCGCGGGACGCGGCGAGCGCGCGGACTTTGGGCGCGTCGACGCCGAAGTTGCCACGGGAGAGGAGGCGCGACACGCGCGCGATTTCGTCGGCGGCGAGGAAGGCGAGGTAGCGCTCGGGCAGGTCCTCGAGCTCGAGCGCCACGGCCGGCGCCGCGATGGCGGCCTTGGGCGGCGCGGCGCGGGAGCGCGACGAGCGCAGCCGCGCCACGCGGCCGGCCCACGTCGCGTCGTCCATGAAAACGTCGAAGTCGTGGAAAGGCGGCCGCGGTCGATCCGTCGTGTGCGACATCAGGCTCTCGAGCCACGCCATTGAACGCGTCTCGGCGCTCAAATTATGAATGCCCCAGACGCCATCGTCAAGCGCCTCGTGTTGAACCCGTATTGAAGAGATGTTGCAGAACGCAATCGCGCTCGAAACACGCTCCTCGGACCTTCTCGAAGCCCGCCTCCACCCCCGCGCCGCCGCCGGCGTCGGATTGAACGCTTAGTCGATCGAGGGTCGGCGGGCGCGCGCCGCGCGCGCCGCTCTCGCGCGCGCGCGCCGCGTCGCGGCCCGCCGCGGCGCCGCGCCCCCGGCGCGGCGGCGCGGGCGGCGGCGGCCGCCGGTCGCCGGCGCGCGCTGGTAGCGCGCCGGGCGCCGGCGGCGGCCGCCGGGCGCGGCGCCTACTCGTCGGGCTCGATGAGGCCGAGGCCGCCCTCCTTGCGCTTGTAGATGACGTTGATCTGGCCCGTCTCCTCGGACTTGAACATGTAGAAGTCGTGGTCGAGGCCGTCCATGCAGACCATGGCGTCGACGAGCGACTGCTCGGGCATCGGGTACTTCTTCTTCCGGATCAGCGTCGTCGCGTCGAAGAGCGGCGGCTCCTCCTCGAGCGCCGTCGACTCGATGGCCTCGGCGAGGCTCACCTTGAGCTTGGGCTTGGACCGCTTGCCCTCCTTGCGCTCCTTGACCTTGCGCAGCTTCCGCGCGACCTTGTCGGCGACGAGGTCGATGCTGCTGTACATCGACGGCGACCGCTCCTCCGCGCGGACGACCTCGCCCTTGCAGAAGACGACGACCTCGGCGACGTCGCTGTCGGAGACCTGCGCGGGGCGCGCGTGGGGCCGCGGCGGCGGCGGCGGCGCGCGCGCGCGGGGCCGCGGCGGCGGCGGCGCCCGGCGGACGCGGGGGGGACGCGCCGCGGGATTGCGCATCACGGAGAGGTGCGTGTCGCAGCGCTGCGCGACGCCCGCGAACTTGCTGATGACCGTGCCGATCTTGTCCTCGACGTAGTCGCGCATGGAGTCCGTCATCTTCAGGTTGTTGGCGGAGACGGTGCTGATCGCCCCGTCGCTGAGGACCATGGACGGCGCGTGCCTCGACCGGCGGCCCCGGACCGGGCGCGCGTGCGGCAGGTGCGACTGGAGCGCCGCGGCGACGCCGAGGAGCGACGCGACGACGGCGGCGCGCATGGTGGGGCTCATGATCTCTCGATTCTGCGCCGGCCGGTCGAAGTGGCTCAACCTGCGGCGCGCCCCTCATGATCGCGAGCAAGGATTCCGAACTTCACGAACCGGTGTTGCCGTGGACGGGGATGGATGTCGAGACACTGCGTTTTGCACATGCTTGAGCCCACCGACGCCATACGCTCGCTAAAAAAGCTCTTCGTCGCGGTCGTCGAACTCCTCCGGCTCTGGTGGTGCTGCGACGCCAAGCAACCCGTCACCATCGTCACCCGCGCCCCGAAGAGGGGCTACCCGCCCCTGCTCTACGCGTCGCGCGCGCGCGCCGACACGGCCGACAGCTGCTACGTCGACGGGTCGGCGCGAGACGGGACGCGCTGCGGCGTCGGCCTCTACTACGCCGACGGCCACGCGCTGAACCGCGCGGCGGCCGTCGACGTCGCCGCCGCCGCGGGCGCGAGCAACGTCGCCGAGGTCGCGGCGATCTTCGCGGCCCTGGCGGCGCACCCGCGGCGCCGGCCCCTGCGCCTCTTCAGCGACAGCGCGACGGCCCTGCGCTGCGTCGCCGCCGCGCGCGCGCGCGGCGCCGCCGCGGACCTGCCGCTCGCGGCGCCGGGGCCGGGGCTCGCGCGCGCGGCCGCGGCGCTCCTCGCGCTCCGCGGCGCGGAGACGACCCTCGCCAAGGTCGCGGCCCACGCCGACGTCGAGGGCAACCGCGTCGCCGACGCGCTCGCGGAGATCGGCGCGGAGCGCCGGGACGACGTCCTCGACGTGCCCGCGGCCTTCTACGGCGCGCGCGCCGGCCGCGCGCGCCTCGCGACGGCGGCGCTCCAGCTCCGCTACCTCCTGAGGCACGCCTAAGTGCGCGCACGAAGGGGGGACGCGGGCACCGGAGCGCGCCGGCCAGCGACTTGGCCAGCGGCGACCGGCTTCGAGCTTCTTGAAGCCCGTCTCCCCTACGCCGCCACCAGCTTCGCACCAGCTTCGGCACGTGCTTCGGCCAACCGCGGCCGGCTTCGAAGCCCGCCTCCCCTACGCTGCCACCAGCTCAGCTTCGCCGGCCGCCGCGACCTCCCCCCGGCGCACGTGCAAGCCTCGATCTTCCGATGTTGACTTTCACTTCGAATTGACGCTGCCCATCACGGTGGTGCTCGACGATGGTCTGAGCCGCGCGTCGATTCGCCATGCGGCTCGTCGCCGCGTCCTGCGTCGTGTCGGTGGCGTTGTCGCTGCCGCGCCCGTTTCCCCGGCTGCGGCGGCCGCGCTGCGCGCCGCTGACGCTCGAGGCGACGGAGGGCGCCGCCGACGCCATGTCCGACGCGGCCCTGCGCGACCTCGTGGCGCGGGCCTGGGGCGGGTCGACGAACCGGAGCGTGCTGCCGGCCTGGAGCGGCCAGAACCTCTGGCTCTGGGCCCAGTGGCGCGGCACGGTGCTGTCGCACTGCCTGGAGCGCGCGCTGCTCACGGCCGCGGGCGGCGCGGTCGTGCTCTGGAGCGCCAAGGGCGGCGTGCGGGGCGGCCTGCCGGACCCGTCCCACCCCGTCGTCGCGCGCCTCGCGGCCGTCGACGCAATGTGGGGCCACCACCTCACGCTCACGACCTTCGTCGCGACGTTCTTCCTCAGCCACGGCTACGCGTTCTGGCGCCAGATGTACGTCGTCGCGCGGACGATCCAGGGCCGGCTCAACGACCTGGGCCTGCTCCTCGCGGCGCACGCGCGCGCGGGCGACGCCGCCGCCGCCGCGGCCGTCGCCGAGTGCGCGCGGCTCGCGCGCCTCTCGCACCTCTTCTTCTGGGCCGCCGTCGTCCGCGCGGCGCCGAGCGACGACTTCCCGACGTCGCTCAACGCGCTCCTCAGCGCCCGAGGCCTCGCCGCGCTCGAGGCCGCGGGCGCGCTCGCGCCGGGCGAGCGGTCCGCGCTCCTGGGGCCGGCCGCGCCGCCGCGCGACGCGTGGTACCTCGCGGCGCTGGGGCGGCTCGCGGCGGCCGTCGCCGACGGCGTCGCGGGCGACCAATTCCGCGGCGGCGCGGGCTTCGAGAGCGAGGCGCTCAAGGCCGTCGTCGAGCTCCGCCAGAACATGCTCAGCGTGCCGGACGAGCTCGCCGCGCGCATGCCCCTCGCCTACGTCCACTTCGTCCAGTGCCTCGTGGACCTGCTCTGCGCGACGGCGCCCCTCGCGCTCTTCCCGCGCGGCGGCGCGTTCGGCATCGCGCTCTGCGCCGTCATCGCGCTCTTCTTCGGCGGCGTCGTCGAGCTCTCCAAGGCCTTCCTCGACCCCTTCGGCAACCGCCACGTCTCCAACGACTCCTTCCGCGCGGACGTCCAGGTCGACGTGCTCCTCGCGGAGTCCAACAGGGGCCTCGCGGCCTGGCACGCGCACGTCGACCTGCTCCCGCGCGCCGCGGCCGCGTCCGACTAGCGCGCCCTAAGAGGCCCCGGGATCGCGGGCGTATGGGGGCGGCGATCGCTGAAATTAATTGCGGCAAGTAAGCTTCACGACGTCGCATTGGTCTCGGAGAGGCGTCGCTTGGTCTCGGAGAGGCGTCGGCCCCTCGGCTCGAGAGCGGCGGCTCCTGCAGCTGAGAGCGGCTCGTCTCGAGGGCCGAGGAGGCCTCGCCGCGACGATGATGGCGCTCGTCGTCGCCGCGACCGCGGCCGCCGCCGCGTCGCCGCTCGAACGCCTCGCGCGCGTCGACGCCTGGCTCGCCGACGGCGCGTCGCCGCCGCCGCGGCACTGGGCCGTCCGGGGCCCCGGCGACGTCGCCGCGGCGTCGACGTTCCTCGCGGGCAAGGGCCAGAAGGAGGTGCGTTAAGGGATGGCAATTCCACCCTCGTACGGTCGCTCACAGGTGCGAGCGTCGCGGCTCGCCGACGGCGGCGCGAAGGTCGTCGTCAAGGCGCTCAAACGCGGCGGCGCGTTCCGCTTCTGGCCCTACCTCGAGCTCATCTACCTGGAGTTTCTGCGCGGCGAGCCGGGCGTGCCGGAGCTCCTCGGCGGCTGGGCGACGGCGACGAGCGTCGTCTGGGTCGTGCGCGACGCCGGCCGCGCCGTCGCGACGGGCACGGGCAGCTCGCGGTCGCCGGCGGTCTTCGCCGCGGCCTACGACGCGCGCGCGCGCACGGACCCGCTCGGCCTCGCGGCGGCGTGGCTCCGCTGCTTCCGGAGCTTCGCGGAGCGCGGCGGCTTCGTGCTGACGGACTTCAAGGCGGACCAGTTCACGCTCGACGCGCGCGGCGACGTCTACCTCGTCGACGGCCCGGCGCCGAACGTCGGGCCCGCCGCGGCGTTCGCGCGGCGCCGCGTCAACGCCACGTACCCCCGCGCGCTCGAGCCCGGGGCCGCGCCGCACGCCTGCCCCGCCGGCGACGCGGGCCGGCGCGCGTGCGGGAAGCGCACGTACAAGTGGCACCTCAAGTGCCACGTCGGCTGCGACAACGACGTCTACGCGGCGCCCGAGCTCGTCGCTTGCCGCGCCGGGGGGACCTGCGCGCCCTTCGGCGCCAAGGCCCACGTCTACGACGCCGCGGCCAAGTACTGGATCCTCCCGCGCGTCGTCGCGCTCGCGGAGGACCGGTCCGCGGCCGCGCGGCTCGGCGCGCTCCTGCCGCGGATGATGAGCGAAGACCCGCGCGACCGGCCGACCTTCTCCGCCCTCCTGGAGGAGCTCGAGCGAGGCGCGTAAACTTTTTTTGGAATTTTGGAGGCTCGCGTTCGCGCGGCGTCGAGGGCAAACCTGAGATAAGCTGCGTCCGAGGCCTGTCGCGGGTAAGCGGCCCGCGGGCGTCGCGCGTACACGTCGTCGTAGATCGTCGCCTGGGAGCGGCCCGCGGCGCGGCGGGCGAAGTTGCAGGATGATGGGCACCTCCTCTCCTCGTCGCTGCGCGACGCCGACGTCCTCAGTGATGCGCACCTCCTCTTCTCGTCACCGCGCGACGCCGACGTCCTCAGTACGCATTATTGTCGCGTTCTCGCTGCTCGCCGGCGACGTATGCGCGTGGCAGTCGCACACCATCGCTGGTCCCAAGCTGTCCGGCGCGACGACCGCCGTCGCGTCGGACGGCCGCGTCTTCCAGTTCGGCGGCCTCGACGAGCGCGGCGCCGCGACGGCCGCCTGCTGGACCTTTGCGGACGGCGCGTGGACGGAGCTGGCGACGACCGGCGGCGGGCCCGGGCCGGTCATGTACGCGGCGGGCGCCGTGCAGGCGTCCCCGCGCCGCGAGGAGTTCGTCGTCTGCGGCGGCTGGGACCCGGGCGCGCGCGGGTCCGGCGGCTCCTTCGAGGACTCGGTCTGGAGCCTCGACACGTCGAGCCTCGCGTGGACGCGCGAGGACCCGCTGCCCTGCGGGCCCGTGAGCCGCCACGGCGCGGCGACCGTCGGCGACCGCGTCTTCGTGCACACGTTCCGCGGCGGCGTGCTCCGCCGCGACGCGTGCGGCGTGCTCAAGGCGCACGCGACGACGGGCGACGCGCCCGAGGGCCTCTCCATGTGCGCGACGGCGGGCGTCGACGGCGGGCTCCTCGTCTTCGGCGGGGCCACCAAGGGCGGCGACTTCTCGGGCGACGCGTACGTGCTCGACGCGAAGACCTACGCCTGGCGGCGCCTCGCCGTCGCGCCGGGCGCCGCGGCGCCGACGCCCCGCGGCAGCTGCGCCTGCGCGGCCCTCGACGGCGCGCGCGTCCTCGTCTTCGGCGGCGGCGCGGGCGCCCCGGGCGGCCGCGGCCTCGCCGCCTCGGACGAGACCTGGGTCCTCGAGGTCGACGGCGGCGCCGCCCGCTGGGAGCGGCTCGACGTCGCGGGCCCCGCGCCGCGCGTCGCCGCGGCGCTCGAGAAGCTCCCGGGCGGCGTCGTCCTCTCGGGCGGCTGGGACCCCGCGACGGCCGCGACCTTCGGCGACACGTGGACGCTCGACGTCGCGTGAGCCTCGCCCCGTCGTAAGCACCTCACGCCTCGTCCGCGAGCGCGCGCGCGTGCCCGGCGAGCGCGCGCGCGCCCGCGACGACGTCGGCCTCGGACTGCATCGCGAAGCAGAGGCGGACGTGCGCGTCGAGGTCCGGCGCCGCGGCGCCGAGGGGCGGCGCGCCGCCGGGGTCGCAGGCGCCCCCCGGTAGGAAGACGACGTCGCGGGAGGCGCGCGCGAGGAGCGTCTTCGCGGAGAGGCCGCGCTTGAGGCGCACCCACACGAAGAAGCCGCCCGTGGGCCGCGCGAGCGGCTCGAAGACGTCCGCCGCGGCGTCGAGCTCCGCGAGGAGCGCGGCGCAGCGCGCCGCGTAGGCCGCGCGGGCCCCGTCGAGGTGCGCGTCGAGGTCGCCGCTCGCGACGACGCGCGTCGCGATCTCCGACGCGAGGGGCGCGACGCCGCCGCCGCTGTCGACGTAGCCGCGCGCGGCGAGCGCCGCGACGACGTCCGGCGCGGCCTCGACCCACCCGACGCGCAGCCCGGGGCTCAGGATCTTCGTGAAGGAGCCGACGGACACGACGCGGCCGCGCGGCGCGCCGGCCGCCGCGGGCGCCGCGGGCGCGCCGGCGCCGGTCGCCGCGGCCGCGGGGTCGTAGTCGTCGCCGCCGCCGTCGTCGGGCGGCGCGGGGCCGTCGCCGAGCGCGGCGTAGGCCGCGTCCTCCTCGAGGAGCCGCGGGAGCCGCGGGCCCGGCGTCCAGTCGAGCA